GCGCTGCATTTTACAAAGCTAGAAGAAGAATATATAGATTATTAATGTTATTTAATAATTTGTATTTACCGAATAAGTGACAATATCTTGGCTTATTGATTTTATTATTAAGTTTTTTCTCTTTCGTAGAACTGTTGGAACAATAGCAAGAGATTTTTGATCGTTTGATCGATCCGTTATTTTCTTGTGTTGTTTTGCTAATTTCATTCCATATCTTGATTTTTTTTCTTCTTCAGAAAGTATCAATTCTTTACGCATTTTAATATCAAAACATTTCTTTAATCGACAATATGGACATAAACGACGTGTTTGAATATTAATATCACACGAACCCGACTGTTGACATTTCAACTGCGACTAAACAAAAAAAATATCATTGTTAGGTCATTTCGGCATAAGAGAAGACTCGACTTGAATGCATAATGATTGTGAATTAAACTTGGATTAAGAAAATTTCTATTGACTACGTTGATGGGTCACGTCTATCAATGTCTTAATCATAAATTTTCTACATCGTTTCACATAATAAGGACGTGTAAATAGATGAATTTTGGCTAGGAGTCATCCTTTTGATCCATATTGAAACTCACAAGCTAGATTACTAATTGATACAATCAAATCTCTTTCTCATATTTTTCATGAATCTAATTTTGATGAAAGAAATACAACAATGATATTTTCAAATCACACTTGTTAGCTTCATTGCCAAATAAACATTTGATTATGTTTTATTTACGTTATTTTTCTTATTGATCTCACTATTGTCTAATTAAAACATGACTCGGTCATATTCTGAATGGAAGCTATGATATATAGTCTAACGATATGAACTTCAACGGAAATGTTATCGATAAATAGAAATGTTGATTCGTCAAAAAACTTCGATATTTTCGATTTGTTAATTGTTATGTATTTTTTTCTTATCCTACACTGGGAACGGTAAAGGGTCTAACTAACTAACTGATTAAAATGGTAATAATTCCATAAGGATAAGCTATGAGTATGAACCCTTTTAGCTTTTTATTAGTCGCATTAAATTCAATCCATGACCAAACAACGAGTTTGAATGACTTCAGACATTTAGACACGTTTTAATAATAAAGCTCTGATTATTTTCATGTATCTAGTGGTTATGCACGTATGTGTCATACAAAATTATCTACAATGGATAGCAATAGAAGTATTTCAATGAGTTAACGAACTGAATCTTCAATAGTGTGTAAGTTCTGTTTTAAATTATGCAGTACTTCTTACCATATCTCGTAATGCATTTCGACGAAAAAATGCTTTACATGGTTGACAAGTGATTTGATCAAAATTCATACCGCAAGCTGGAGCCCCACAAACACGACATTCTAAACTTGATCGTTGAGAGCTTTCTTTTGAACAATTCTCTGGTGATGATGTTTGTAGTTGATCTTGATCAATCTAATGAAACATTAAATGATATTATTTAAAAATACTCATTATATATATATCATTTACTTCAGACGATGAAGACGTCATTTCTTCCATCATATCATCATCTAACATAAAATATTGATTATCTTTAGTTTGAAGATTAGAATCATCAATCAGTGAAAATAAATCGTCAAGATCCAACGATGACATATCATTCCAAAATTGATCATTCGACATCTTGGGTCGTTATTGTCAATATTTATAATATTAAAATTTTACTGTACGCTAATATAATTTCCTAGAAAAATATTATTAAGCTATTTTGTTCTGTATTTCAAACGGTCGATTGGTTCTATGTTATTGCATTTATTATGTAAATAGTTCTCTTTTTTTTCGTTTTCTTATGGTTAGTTTCATTTGAATTTTTTTTATAAATATAGACGTCGATGCAATTCTCTTTCGAAAAAAAAAATAACAAACTGAAGTATTCAAACTTACGAATAAATCGATGTTGATCTTATTTCTGTTAGTTATATTGCTATGTAACTTTGAGTCGATATACGACACACAATGTGTTTTTTTTTTCTCAAGCTTTTACCCCTTCAAGGGTATGAGCAGAAGCATATATGAGAAAAAGAAATGCGGTACGTGTTTTTTTCCTTTCTATATTCTGCACTGCGTGAGCCAATAGTTCTCGAGCAAAAAAAAGTAATTTAAGCATGTTTTTTTGTTGTTATGAATGCACAGGATGAATCATTGAAAAAGAGAAAAAACAAGACAGTAAGCATACAGTGAAAAGCACGATAGAGCGACATCAACATTATCATTGAATGCATGGATACATAATAATAAAGGGGATTTGTATTATTTGATTGATACGCTCTATTACTTAGAGAATCATTAGACTAAAGGTAGTGATGTAAATTTTGATTTATCTGAAACATCGAATCCATTGTTAAAATCTACATCGCAGCAAAAAAATATCATTTTTTTTATAAGCTAAAAGCTAAACTTTAACCTACTTGCAAGCAAAAATTATTAACCACTATTTATATAAATACTTCAACGTACTTTAAAAATGTTAAAATACAAATATTAGCTTGTGTTACATTAGAACAATGTAATTTTATTGAAAGGTCTTCTTGAGAAAATGGACATTCAGCTAGTCCTGATGTAGTAGAAACATATGTTTTGCGTGCAGATGAGGAAAAGATCTCACATCCAAACTGTTTTCCGAGAAATATACAAAGTGAAGTATATGTTGAAAAATTTTCATGATCGGAAATATTGTCAGCCAACAATTATATTTTAGCGTGATAGAAAATATGACGCATTTATGTAATGCGACGCTTTCATTGATTTTACTGCAATCACGTGTACATACTTCCAAGAAAATTTGAAATAAATATGATAAGGAAAAAATATACCTAGTCAATGAAACACTGAAACCATCAATCACAATCTTAGGAATCATAGATTGAAGAAAAAATCTTTAGACCTATTGTATTCAATAAAGACAAAATTTATGCCTAAATCAGAATATAATATCTTATAAATTGTAGCTTTCTTTTTTTTATATTAGAGCCAATGAAAATATTTTCAAACCATAAACATCGATTATAATTATATTTTGTAATTTTATGTTACTATGGATATTGGCTACACTTGTTTGTATGAAAATTTTCTGCAATTTTGAACATTGCAACTTCGAGATATTAAGATTTCAAAATATAAGCACTTTTTTTTTAAAAAACTTGATTTTTGAAAACTAACTTTTTCGAACATGCGATATTCAAAGTTTCAGAAACCTTCCGTACAAACTCATCTAATTGAGTTCTATGTTTTAGTTGAATTTCGATATTCTCATCAAAAACTAACCTGTATCCGTATCTTCTTAGGACTTTCATAGTTTCATAATTCTTTATGTAATATACAAAAATCAGTCCGAAAGCTTTTCAGCACTTTCAAAAGTTTTTCCATGATTTTCATTTCTTTCAACGGTGAACTATATTTCTATGACATCTATAGCAGGGAAAAAAATGTCTATTTTCGATAGTATATTTTTGAGTATCTTAGAGAAATATGACAGAGATGTGTATTTTGTTTAAAAAAAATTACAGAAGATATATACTCTTATGAAGTACAACTTGAAATCTTTTCTTCATATTGACGCACAAGTTATTTGTAGTCCTTCTAATACTTGTATTAAATAGTGAATTTGAGAGCACATACCTATGTAGGTCTGTTTACACTCTTCATACATCCACATCCACATGAAAAATTTGACCTTATGATGTATTTACCAAAAAGAAACATCATATGCTTGGTTAGAAAGATTTGTAATTTGTTAAAAATGTCTTCTGTTTTTTGTTCTTTTGTATTAGTTTAGATTATTCGTCTGAGTTGAAGCTTTTATTAGTAAAGTTTTTTTTTTTATTGTAAATTTCTGGATCATTTTTCACTTTCTCCAACTTGTGAGCATACAATTGATTTTGTTCTTTCGATGATAGAAAGCACAACAAAAATATGCATCACAGACATGTATACCAAGATTGGGTGTGGGTGTAGATATGGATCTTCTCTTCATTTATACTTACAGCTACAGCCACACCACATCCTGAAATTTCATCAAATGCTTTCGAGAATGATACGAAACATGAAAGATCAAAAATATCTTATGCAAGTAACGAAGTCAAGTGGGATATGTTCTTCAATGATGTGCAATGCACAAGATTTTTTCTGAATCAAATAACAAGTCCAAATAATTCTCAATTGCATTTATTCGAGATTTTATCTTGAGTTGTCTGTTGGAGATATTTAGAAGAAGTTTATGGTATTATCGATCGAATCGTTGCTGTTATAACTGAAGATAAGATCATGGTAAAGAAGATATCAGGACCAAAATGGCTTAGTCCCACACATCTCTAGTTCGTTTCCAAGTAATGAATAAGAAAACAAATGTTTTTATTGGTTGTCACTGAAACATCCCTCAAGTTCTTGTATCACTGATGTTGTCCCAACCAAAAATAAAGATTAGGTTCGTTATTAACAATAATACAATTAGAACTATTGAATATAATCTGTTGCTTTTGTCACCATGTCATATCAATGGATGGATATGGTTTCTCATACACAGTGACATGCAAACTATGTAATTGAAACATATTTTGTAAAATTAAACCAATTGTGTCGGTTGGTGACTGAACATATAAAAATAAATGTTGGCATTTCGAAGAGAAAATTCGAATAATTTATTGGATTTCATTTTAACTTATAGATCGTGATCGTACTTTTTTCCCATGTAATTTTAAAGAAAGAATCTTACGAGATAGATGATCACATATGGTAACATTATTCCAATATTCGGTTGCTTTCTGTAAAACACTCTTTTCTGCATTTAATGAACATAAATGAGGTGTATTTTTCAATAAACAAAGAAAGTTTTCTGCTGCTATTATTGCGTAAGACTGAATCTCTAAATGTCGTCGCTTAGTCAATATATGTATCCATTGGATTGAGACAAACTCACTATGAATAATTAAATTAATTACTTCACTTCTATTAAAATTTCCATCGGGCTCAGAAGATTTATAGAGGACTTATAATTTTTTAACATTTGAGAATATATTCGTATAGAAATCATTGTTATCATCGTCCAATAAAGTTAAAATAGTTTTGATGATAGAACCTTGAAAAGTTGTATAGATTTGAAAGGAAAATGGTAGTGAGTAGAGAATTGCACGCCCGTGATATCTATCAGGTATATCACAACGAATAAACCATTTATTTTTAAGTACATAGAATGGTGTAGAAAACCATGATATTACTTGTTCAATTTGATTAGATAGTTGTGATGAATATTCGAATTGGAAATAAAATTTGAAGATTTTTAATAATGGAAGTGATGAATGAATCAGGTTTTCCCATAGTTGACCATTAGGAAGTAATGTTCCTTTTTCTTTTTGATAAATTTCAAGACTATTTAATGATGATAAATGAACAAGAGAACGTTGTATACGATCAAAATATCCGTCATAATCAAAGATAATGCTAAGATGTGTTAATGTTGATGGCCATGGTAAATCTTTTATATGCAAATGACAATTTCCTATTGTGTATTCAATACTTTCAAGTTCGAGAAAAATTCTAAAAGATAATAACGAAAATTGTTAAATTTTATATATTTTTAGTTTCACCTTAATCCGATCGATATTTAAACAAGAAGTGAAAACAAGTCTTTTTAGATTTGGAAGATCGAATTGAGACATACTGTCACCACATATAGATTGAATTGTTAATGAAAGAAGATTTGTTAAAGATGGAAGTTGTGATAAAATAGTGTATGTTTTCTGTGAATCTACATTTACAATGGATAATTATTGTAGTTGAGGAAAATCATTGACTAAAGAATAAAATTGGTAAAAGTATTCTATATGGTCAGGTGTGTATTCATCATCAGAAATTCGTAATTATTTCCATCGTTTTGTATTATGATGTTGAAAGATAAGGTCAAATTTAAATTTACTTATTCATTTATAATCAAAGAATTAACAATTTTCGATAAGTAAACATTGAAAGCGATGATTAAATTGTGAAAAGGCAAAAAAAAAACATCCACTTCATTTAAATAAGAGAATATTTCAGCAAATAATTCATTAGCTAAATGTTCCAAGAATGTTGAACAATTGCGCTTTCGTCGTTTTTTTTCTCATTTTTTCTTTGTGTGCTTCAATTAATCAACGAATATTTTCATTATTATTCATTGTTTCAAATTGTAAGCTATGACACAAATGTGTCTATGATTTTATATCTTTTCTTCTTTCATGTCCAGAAAAATATTTGATGATTCAGTTATTTCGTAGGGTGGGGTGTGGATGTGACTATAACTGGGAAACTAGAACGACACAAACACCACACCCACACCCGCATAGTCGTGGTATAAGTGACCATTTTCATGGTACAAAAGTACCACTTTGGTGGTACAGGTGACCATTTATTTGATACAATTGACCATTTTCATTATACAATCGACCGTTTCTATGGCACAGTTAACCATTCTTATAGCTCAAATGAGCGTTTCTGTGTCACAATTGGCCATTTCCGTATTAGAAATGGCCATTACTTTGGCATGAATCACAACTTTTAGTCGTTATAATTAACTAAAGCATAAACTTTAACATATACATTAGTATCTTTCAATATTTTATCTGAAATATTTATATATATCTATAGCATGTAATATAGAACATGTTACAAAGATTAATAATTTCTCCTAAATTCATCATTATACGAAATTCATTTTTATTTAAGAATATAAGGACATATTTGTCATCATTCCGTCAGTCTTGGGCACGTTACTTGTGATTATTTGTTTAATATAAAATGTATAACTAATTCATGGAGCAAATTTACTCTGATGTACATGAATAGTGCAAGAATAGACGTTTAGAATACATGTACACGTTGAAAATGAAAAGATGAACTGTTGATAGAACGTTTGAGTTTTTGAAAAAGATTCTTGGAAAACATTTGTTAGTGAAGTTTTTCATGTTTCAAGTATTAAATTTAGGACTCTAATCTAGCTTATGACATATTTTAATATGAAATTGTTCATATCATAATTGAAACTGACTGCTCGTATCACAAAATATTATCGAAGAGGTTGATTAAAATACAAGTAACGCTCGTCTCTGTGACTCGCTTGACCCTCGACTGAATATTTGACTGCTTCGATATTTTTACTATTACACATACCTTTCAAAAGGTAGCAACTGGCCTATGTATAAGGTTGTGTCTGAGTGCGAATAGTAATACACAAATCTGTGTCGGCGTGTGAATAGCCATGCGTATCTTTCAGATACTACTTTCCATACCATTCATTCACTTAAACTGATACTCTACGAGTACTATCCAAAGTAAATCTGTATGACCCACAATAGTACAGCAATATCCACAGGCTCCGAAAAGACAGTATATTCGATTTGTAGAGATAATCAAGAAACAAAACATATCCGAGATAATAGGGTGAAAATGCACTATACTTCTCGAAAACTATCATCATAATCCGTATAGCCACCAGTAAAAAACCGAGAATATCATTTACCAGTGCTCGCTACAAAAATACCTGCGTAGCGGATCTTTCAGATTAAAATAAATCATATTGGTTCAAACCAATACTCGTCATATACCATTTGAGTGAGATTTTCATTCAAAGTCCTCGTTGGATTAAACAGTTAATTCCAAAATACCCAAAGAAATTTAGACAAGTGAATGGGCAGAAGTATGGATAAGTGAAATGAGAAAAACGGATTTTATTGTACTCAAATCTACTTTGAATGAACTTATGTAAATTGTTTAATTAAGGTTTTTCATGGAATGTTCTATCCCGATCGTCAGCAAATTCAGCACAGCTGTTCTCACTCACACCCTCAAATATACTTGTTAGCTTTTTGCCATCTCTCGTTCCCACTAAAACAAGTAAGAAGTAAATGGTAGAAATTCTCCCAATGAATTTGGAGTGTCTGAAGCGTTCCTTTAATGAATTTCGTCGGGAAGCAGTTAGTCGCTCTTAAGTGCCCCAAATGGACGCCACTCATACTCGCACCTATAGTTGCTGCCATGTTCAGTTCTATTTGAGTATATGATCGTGCACTATCATTTAAATTCTACCCGATTCTAGATTTCTCTTAATTTTAAAAGTAGTTAGAACTATAAGATGAGGATTTCCCATGAGAAATTGCAAAGTGGAAACATTGTTGTGAACTATTCTTTATGCATTTAATTCCCTTGCATAGCTAGCCAATCTGAGATCTAATTGAATTTCTCATCAAAATAATCTTAGCAAATTACTCAATCAAAAAGCTGGCTTTATACAGTCCGTATCTGAAACCAACTAAATGTGAATTTAAAATCGGAGACATTGCAGTTGATTGTCAGTGCTTCAACGTAGCGCCAATCGCTGTTAGCCACTGCAAAGGTTGAACCTACACTCCTACATGGCTACTCTTTTATACGAGACCTGAATGATTCAAGCTTCAACTATATCAAAAGCGTATTTATTTATCCCTAGCGAGTACTAGATTTTCTCTATCAGGCAAAACATCTTCTTAACATATACTCGTTGTTTCTCTAACTTCTCGATATTTGTATAAATCCTTCTATACATAAACTGTCATTGATTCAGTCTTAGTGGCGCATTTTCAACCATTTTGCTAGACGCTATGCAGGCATTTCCTAAATCACGAATCCTATAAACCTGCTTTGGCAGCAGCAGACGTTCGTCTGCGCCCCGTCGGGGCGCCACTAACGACTAGCTGCTGCCCTTCTTAACTTCGTACCACTAAATGACTAATCTTTTACTCTGACATAAGCACAGTCTTCATTTCAAAATTTCGATTCAAATATTGAAATATTATGCGAACAAGCCTGATTAATATTGCAAAATTTTATGCCTTGCGACTATATATCGATTGGTAAAATGTACTGCACTTTCACTGAATGAATCTTCGGTATGCACAAGCAGTCCAAAATACAACTTTAGCTGCCGGGGATGGCGTAGTGGTTCTATGCATCTGATTACAGTCAGAGATCATAAGGTTCGATCCCTTCCCTCGGCATGGTGCATTCAGTGTCAAGATATATGGTATCGGAAGAATAAACAAAAGAAAAGCAACGATGCACGCTACATCGTCATCATTGGCTCGATTTCGATTTTCATTCTGTTCGTTTTCATTTCTTTGTATTCTTTCTCTGTTTGTTATCATTATCTTGTCCGTTGCATACATTCGTAAGCGTCCACCAAAACTTGTAAAAAATCTCCCAAAAAAATCATGGATGTCACGAATAAAATTCAGCATAATTAAAAAAAAAAAAAATACAACTTTAGCAGTAATGTCTCGCGGAGAGTAGACAAACATTAACACATACTTGGACTTTACAATTCATGTAAAGATCATGATTAAATCAACATTATGTAAAACGGAACTGGATGCTAAATCTCTGTTGCTTTTCCTCACTTAATAGAGACAAGCGCACAGATAAATGCATCCTCTATGATATCACCACCTGTTCACTATCAGCAAAAAAGTTAATTTCTGATTCCACAGCTTTCAAGTCAGTGGGAAGTTCGGATACAACATCTGATCTCAGATTCGGAATCCTGACCTTCCATAACTTCCACCAAAGTTCCATCAAAGCGGTCACAAGCCTTAAAATAAAAAAGTTCATTTCTGATTGGTCGGTTTTCAACCAATGAAACCTCGGCCAAAAAATGAGCTTCGGATTCGGATTCAGTGCCCTGTATAACCTATAGCAAACTTCGATCCAAACAGTCAAAAGTCTTAAAATGAAAAAGCTCATTTCTGATTGGTCCGTTCCTGACCAATAAAATCTCGG